ATTATGTATATGATATATATATTATATGAATAAATGTATGCCTAATGTATATGTATGTATAATAGATATGTATAAATATGCATTATGTAATATAATTATAATATATAAAACACATATTTTTCATATATATGAATAAATAGTATTTATTAGTTCTATTTCAACAATAATGAGCAAAGGAAAATCTTTTTGTAGCTCTATTAAAATTACCACACTTGTGGAGTTAAAACGGCCCTGCCTTGAGAAGCAGATCTGGAGGAATAGAACTTTAAAGATCAAGATTAGCAAATTAGCCAACAGGAAAAGCCAAAGAGCCAATTAACCTCCTCCTCCTGCAAAGACCATGGCTGCTCTGGGGCTCCAGGCTCTCTGAGGCAGCTGAAACGTGCCTCCCTAAAACTTCCAGCTGAAGCCGCCTCGTTCCTTCAAGTTCCACAGTTGCTGGGAATGTTTGCTTTGTATGTCATTTCCTTTGCCACTCGAGTGTGGAAGTCATTGTGTTGCTCTGAAATGGTTGCCATGGGAACATCTCCACCTAGTCATTATCTACTCAGCCTACTGATTACATTAAACCAGGAGACAGAGGTACAAGGGCACTGTAGCCACCTGTTTTGGAGAAAACTGTGATCGCTTATGCGACATTTTTGCCTCTGTGGCCACACATTTCTCAGAACGTTGTCTCCGTTTTCTCTTCTCTCGTTTCCCTCCAGAGTTAGGGAATGTCATAAATTTGTAGGACGGTGGCATTGGGATAACTGAGTCCTTACATTCCCAATCCTCCTGCCCTCCTCTGGGTCTCCGTTTTCGTATCTCACACAGAATAAAAATAATTGTCATTCTTTTCTCTCCCTCTCCTCTGCCCCTCCATGCTTAGGCATAAGGATAATCCTCTTTAAAGGTCTATGATTCCTGAGCCCACACAATGGTGTTGAAGCTACATTTTTTCTGCTTCTTATCTAGAGAAGCTTCTCAAAATTCACACAAATGCCTCTTTTCTAAGTTATATAAAATATAAACAGTAAATGAAACTGGCTGTCAACAGGTAACTTTATCTGACATATTTCTCAGTAAAGAAATGCATGGGTATGGATGCGTCTCTTATGAGGAGGATTTCAGATCTTTATTCCTGGATTGAAAGTGACATTTATGAGGTGTTGTCTTGAAGTAAATTTTTTTGGTAGGAAAAACTTTAAAAAACCATTGGCCTTGTAATTATTGTCTAAACCAGAATACTTAGGGAATGAAAACGGCATTAATAAGTTTGCCTAGACAACAGGTACAAATTTGACCCCTTATATGTAGACAAGTACATAGGCATGGTAGTACCATGTCTTCAAAAAATAGGGGGAAAGAGATACCTCTTCCAGAGCAATGTTTGTTCAGTTGGAAATTGTAACTGAGGAATTTAAAATCTGAATGAACAAGGAAGTTCCCTTTCTGTTTACACTTCTATCTCATGTAAATTAAGTCAATGTGAGTCCATTCTTGAAAGTAAAGTGATGGCGCTGGGGATTGGGAAAAAAAAATGACATTAACGAAGGAAAATAGACCAGGGTGAATGTACCTCTGGAGATGTCATAAACTTTTAACTTCGTTTAAAAAACTGACTTAAGGATTAGTCACTCTTTTCTGTTAAGGGTCATACAGTTAAGTATTTTTGGCTTTGTGGGTCATATGGTCTTTCTTGGAAAGTAGCTGTAGATGATATGTAAATGAAGGGCATGGCTGTTTGCCAAAAAAATCTTATTTATGAGACAGGGATGAGTGGGAGCATAGATTACTGCATTGGTTTTCATTGGCTCATTCTCATTCTAGTTATCTGTTTTAATGTCTACAAGTTTTGTTCTGACAGAAAGATATTTTAGATACTAATTCTGACATCTTCTTGTTCTGCTATGGCAGATTGGGGCAGTAGCTGAGAGGGCCAATGAAGAAGTGCAATGGACCTTACTATTCAATGTACATTTTTGTTAGTCATGTTCCAGCCATTCAAGACATATGCTGAAGTCGGGGGTAGAAGGTGAACTTCCTGCCACATTTTGACAGGGAGTGGCAGCCACGTGGATTTCACTAAGTGTTTTAGAAGAAGAGCAGCTGGGATGCAAACATAGGGGAGAGAGGCTCTGGTGATTTGGTTTTTCCTACAAATGGTCTTTTAAAAAAAGTCCTACCCAGATTCTAGCTTGGCAGAGTGGGGAAAACCGCAAGCTCCTGAGGAAAATAAAGTCTTCAGTCTCTGCCTATACTTGAAAAAAAAAAGACCCCCAATGAAGGTAAATGATACAACAAATCACTTTAAACTAGTCCAGTACTTACTATGTAGACCTGGAATCAGTTGGTAAAAATAAAAGTTTTAGAAGAAAGTTTTAAAATGTTCCTTTGGAGTTCATCTTTATATCTTTATAGAATTATACTTAAAATGTTTCCTTTTAGGCAGGAAGCATATGTTAACAACTCAGGCAGGCAAATCTCAACAAGAACATGAATGACATTAAAGAGAATTAAATAGTATCTCTATTTAAATATTCTATCTTAAGTCACTGTATGGAACACAGATAGACCCACACCTGCTGCTACCTGGTGACAAGCTGCTGTAATTGCAGGCTAATCTAGAAACTGGAGAGTGACCACAGTCCTGTTACTGATTCTGTTTTCCACAGAGAAGGAAAAATCTCAGAGGGCTTCAGTCCTATCTGAGTTGTTGAGCAAAATATAGGTGATGACAGATGTTGTAATCATTTAATATAATCTTTTTGGGGGATCTTTTGATCTAATTGGTAACAAATGCAAGTGAGAAGTCAGTTCTTTGAGATCTCGTAGTCTATTTAGGGATATGTTTTATACATCTAGGAAAGAAATTGAGTCCACCATAAAGCAAAATACAATGAAGGCAAATTGATATTGCTTTAGCATGTTTTACTGATAAAGACACATAAGTGAAGGAATTATCTAGAGTAGAGTGTTGAGCAGAGGGGAAAGTGGATTTCCAAATGGAGGGCCAACACTGTCACTTAATGTGTGGAGGGTCATGAGCAATAGATGGAGTGAAATGGGAGTGGAGGAGAAGAGAGCATCTCATACCAAGGGAGGGAGGCCAGGGTGAGTCCAGGCTCTAGGAAGTTTCTAGAGGACCTACAGAAGATGGGTAACAGGATGGCACCTGCTTGTAAGTGATTTGTTATATAGTGAAATATTATCTGCATTGGTTTTCTGTTTAAATTTTTTATATTTTTTCATTTTTTTAATGTTATAAAACTAAAAAAAACTAATTGTAAAAAACCCAAAATCCAAGTGTTACAGAAACCTATGATGTAGACAATGAAATACTCCATAACCCCACTTACAAAGATAACTGCTATTAGCTGATGTTGCTTATTAATAGTAGCATAATTTAGAAACAGATTATATCACTTGGAACCTTGAAATTAAAAAGAGAAGTTTCTCCTATTTTCCTAATTCATCCATGCCCCATACTGGAAACCATGATATAACATCTCATCTAATATTGAGAGAGGCTTTTTGGGTTTTCTCCATCTCACACTTAGTAGGTGAAGCCATTGGAGAGCCCTGGTGTCTGTGAGACAGTGAAATAAATATGCCCTTTACTCATCCCTATCTTGCTTGGTGGAACCATATCCCTGGCAACTGGAAATCAGTATAATCTAGAGACTGTCAAAGGGGTGACTTCCATGGGTAGCTGGAACAGCCTAATGGAGGTCATAAGGAAACTTAAGAGACACCATCAGAGCTCTGCACTATACCCCCCAATATATCCAATATTGCATTGGTTTGGCAAATCAATTGTGTCTTCTACAATGTATTTTTGGGGACTGTGTTGGGGTGGTTATCTCTAGTATGGAAATGTTGCTCCAAATCTCTGTGTCCCAGAAAGAGCTGAGAAAATAGATATTGTACATCGATAGGGAAGTTTAATGAGCTAGAAGATCATAAACATTTCCATCCCCTACTGAGCTTTTGAGGATCTAAAGATAACAAGTTTTGACTTCTCTTAGTAATTTTTAGGGGTTAAGGTAAATTGGATTACCTCTTCCGCTGAACTTGTTTATTCCAAGGGAAAGTAATACCATGTGGTTGCAACCCAACACTTCAAAATTTAGGGATGGGAAGTGACATGAGAACCAAACACTGAAAACCTTGGAGCAAACTGAAATTTATCCACTTTCTACCTCCACCGGCCTCTCTAAGTCCAAAGTGCTGGATGGTTGCGATAGTTAGAAGACATGAAATAAGGTGGAGAGACTAGTCACTGGTCTGGGTTTCCAAAGGAATTTGAGATTAACAGAGTTATGAACTGGAGGTTGAGAAAAACTCCAAATAAGGAGAAGTATATGAAGGGGAAAGGTAGAAACGAATGACTGTCTGAGGTATTCATAATGGAGGAAGCAGCAAGTCCAGACTTCTAGGTTCCTGCCATGGTGAAGAGTATTACTGGAAACATGAGAATGGATATCGGGGACCTCGATTAGATAAAGAAGGGAGAATGACACAACAGATAGTTACTAAGGGCAGAGGCATAATAGGTTTCCCTGTGCAGTTTTAGCAATGAAATAGAATCTCATCTGGTTGAGTCCGGGATGATGGTGGAAAGAATGTGCTGGATAATGAAAGGGATAAGCTTCCTTGTATAGGGCTTCACAGTTTTTAAGACTTACATTTTTATTTTAATTTTTCCCACTTTATTGAAGTTTAGTTTTTTTCTTTTCAAATTTTTATTTAAATTCTAGTTAGGTAACATAAGACTTACATTTTTAAAGCTGACCTGATCTTATTTGATCCTCACTAAAGCTCAGGCAGGTAGGCAGGGCCAGAATTATGTCACTAGGGAGGAAATCTAAAGACAAAGGGTTAAGTTCCATTTGGGAGGGGAGACAGAGAGGAAGGAAAGCAGACCTCGGAGGGTTTTGAAGTTCAGAGGGAAGTAATTTTTTTTTTTTTTTTTTAAGGAAACATTTGTTCCTTTCCAGGTACACTTGATTACTCACTGTTAAGTAGGCGGAAGTCAATGAATGGGTAGGAGCCACGGCGTTCAGCAGGAGCCCCCGTCTGACCCCTTAGTCGTACATCTCCTGAAAAACAGAAAATCCAAACAAATGTTTGAAAACATTGCCAAGTATATTCACTTTTCCACTTATGTCACTGGAACCAACACCAAATGTCAGGAGGAAAATGATTTCCATTCACCTTGCATAATAGAGAGCTATGTGAGAAGGGATATTTAATGAATGCTGAGTGTAATGAACTTGGCAATACTCTAACGAGCGAAGCAGCACTCTGCTCCCTTTTAGATCTGCCTGGAAGATGGATCTGTGAAAATCATAGGAATTTACAAAATGTCCATTGTCCGAGGGCCACAAAGATGAGGCATCTGAATTGGGAAGGACGAATGGTGTTCTGGGATTATAGCTTTTATTCTTATTAACGTGTTTAATTGCCCAGTGTTATTCTCTTGGTTCCAGCACAGTTGCCTTCTGACTGGTGTCTACCATCCTGTTGCCTAGGCAGTATCATGGATCTGCTTTAGAACCCGCTCAGTGAAGGCCCATCCCGCGCCAGGTAGTTTGGATACTTCGCCTCCCTTGGACATAACAGTTGCTAGAGTTTGTAGAACTTATTTTTTTGTAGGTTTTCTTTAATGTCTGCGTTCACTTTCCTTTGTGATGTGTCTTCTGCCTTCCCGATCAAGGGCACTGACTTTAGAACGAAACAGACTCGGGGGCAATCTCAGCTCAGATATTTGTTACCTGTACGATCTTGGGAAATTTATTTCTCTTAGCTGCAGTTGCCTCCTTTTAAAGTGTCATTGGTTGAAGAATGAATCTAAAATAACACTTGCTGTCTTGCCATAAATGCTGGGTTTACTTCTTTCTCAACTCCTGAAAAGCAAGGACCTTGCATATTATGTGTTTTGCACTTTTCCATACAGCTTTGTATATTGTATGGCATATAACAGACTCTAAGTGAATGTCTTCTGTTGACAAGAATAAATATAAAGACAAAATTTGCCAACTAATACATAAAGTGTGGAATTAGAGGAGAGGTAAAAATACATGAGATCTACTATATTTCTGGAAGAACTGAATTAGGGAAAATTTCAGTTCCATGAGTAATGGGTCCACTCCCATAAACTACTCTTTCCCAGACGTGAGGCAGCAGCGGGCCTTAGCCTATGAGTAGAGAGGAGGGACAATCTTCTTTCTACCATTCCCACCTCCTGTAGTCAACCAGTGCCTGGGTGAGATCCCCTTCAGCTGTAACCCACACCATTGGCAATGTTTAAAATACCCCTTACAAATAGATGGGCTTACCAACTGCAAGCTGTGAGCCTCTGGACTATTCAGTGCTTTGAATTTTATATTGGTACCTTATTTAATGCTTTATATCATCTGATATTATAGTGCCATACTGATATTAAGGAATGTTACAGTTTACGGAATAAAGCAAAATGGGAGGAGGAGGAAAGAGATGGAAAAGTACTTTTATAAATATGAATATCATCTGACATCAAAGAAAGGAATGCTGTTAGCATTTGGCATGCTCCTGGAGTGGATGGCCAGCAGTTATAAGAAAGCCACTGGGGAGAGTTGAAGGGTTTTCCTGTCTTCAGCAGCTTGTCTTGAACACCCCATGTTTATAACACTTTGGAAAGTTTGCAAAGCACTTTCACAAACATCACAGTATATTTATTTTCTTCTTCATCTCATTGGATCCTCACAATAGTCTTGTGAAGAGAATCACTATTATTATCCTTACTGTATAGGTGAGAAAAAGGAGGCTCAGGGAGAAAAAAAAAAAGGACTGCTGTTCACCTACCCAGTCCCAGCTCAGAGCTCAGGCCCTTTAAAGGCACTCAGTATGGACGTCTGGATGGCTCAGTTGGTTAAGCATCCAACTCTTGGTTTCAGCTCAGGTCATGACCTCATGAGTCATGGGACTGGCCCCCAGGTGGTCTCCCCACTCAGTCAGGAGTCTGCTTGATGATTCTCTCCCTCTGACCCTCCCTCTGCTCCCTCTACCTCTCAAATAAATAAATAAATTTTTAAAGGCAGTCAATAGATGGTTATTGACTTTCAGTGACTGCCTAAGCTTATGGTTCTTTAAGCTCAGAATTAGCAGGGCTCGTCCTTAAATCTAGGTTACTGAACTTCACAGCAGAGCTCTCCCCTCATGTAACCATTGGTTACTAACCTTAAGGAGAGTACACACCTGGTTTAAAAAAAAATCACAGGCCCTCACATGATAGAAGGTGAAATTTAGCAGCCATGGAGAAAATACAGCATGTCAAAATGATATAATAAATTCAGCACTGCCTAAATGATTTCTATTTTAGTTTTAGAAGATAAACATATATGTAACAACTTCTGCATGGATGAGACTATATTCATTTGGTCTACAAAGCTGGCTAGGTTTTAGTCTTGTTAACCTGTTGTATCATCCCTGTGCGCTTCTCTGAATGGCTTTGGGCTCATTGATTGGAAATCACTTGTCCCCCAGCACTTTTTTCCCCTCTGTATTAACAAAATATTCCTCCTGACTTTGCAGTTCAGAAGGTACCATGTTCCCAGAAAATGTCTGTGTAATATCAACAGAGGTTTTAAAGCCTTTGCCAAAATGTATTCCATTTGTCCATCTGACAGTCTAAGGCAGAGGATGCCCATTATCTTGTAAGGCTTTAAGTTTAAGGAAACATGGAGAAGACAGCACCGCGTGGCAGAGTGGGTAAAGGGAAGGCAAGGCGTGAGTAATGCAGAGACTCCTGTTGCCAAGAGGATCAATATTTCACCCTCTTGGGTGGTTATGGGCAGATCAATAACCACTTGGAGGTCCGGTTTTCTAATATTTAAATTAATTAGCATAATTACAGCAGCTTTGCCCACCCCATAGGTTATTGTGAGGAAATTACAAGGTGCAAATAGCATGGTGGGTAACAGTTACTGAATCCTTACACCAGACTGAGCATTTTACTTGCATTATTGACCATCATCTGCCCAACAACCCAGTGGAGTAGGCGTTATTACACCATTTTGCAGATGAGGAAGCTGGAGCCAGTGGAAATTTGATAATTTGTCTGAGCTCACAGAAATAATAGGGGTGGAGCTTGTGCTCAAAATCAAAATCGGCTCTTCAACCCCACGTTGTTAATCCCTCTTCTGTATTACCAGGGTGAAAAATTGCATGAATAGTTGAGCATTCACTTTTTATTGCCCAGTGCATGCTTTGATTGCTATTTGCCGATAAACCAAAGACATATTCATCATGATTCCTGGAACCTAAATGCCAGGGAAATCCACCCCCTTGATGAGTTCGAGATTCAATCAGATAGATGTTGTTTATTTGAACAGCGGTCCAGCGGAAATGGGCTGAACGAGTAAGACAACCAAATCCTGTTCTTGATCAACAAGGCATCTATTATTTTCAAGTAAGAGATGGAAGGCAATTATTAAAAATATTATTCAGTAGAACTGAAATTACCTAGCAACTAATTTAATCAAGCTCTTAATTAAATAGAATTTTCATGATGTAATGCCGTTTTGGGGAAAAAGAAACCGTGAAGCAAGTTGATAGCAAGGACACCTTAAATAAGCAAACAGAACAAAAGAAATCAACATCAACGACAAGAACCTACAGAACCCATACCTGGAAGGTGCCTTTTCAATGATTATTCTGTCTATAACTACAATTACAGTCTTGGAAGTGGATTACTCATAAACCTAATGATGGTCTTTAGGGTTAGTAAATAATAGTGTTTAAGAAGGATGAAATCACGTTAAAAATACTAGTAAGGCAGGAGGCAGGACAATCCTAAGTGGGTAACAAAGCATTTTAGAAAGTTTTCCACATGCACACTTAAATACAAACAAGCCAAACATTCCATATGTTGAGCATTCTATTAATTGGAGACTCTGCTGAGGTAACTTCATGTCTCAAGTATTTATTTCTAATGTAGAAGCTTCTCTCCCTTTCTCCCTGCTTTTATGAGCCCCTTCTGATGCTAAATTGCTTCACTATGCTCGTGGGAAGAGAGAAAGACTTCAGTAACTCTGGTCCCTGGAGAAGCAGAGGCCACCGGGCTGATGTCCGAAAAACAGAACAAGTGGACTCCTGCTGGACTGCTTTTTCTGGCCTCTGGTCCCAGGCACTCATCTATTTACCTAAGGCCTTATATCCAAGCCAAACAATTATTTTGACTATTCATTAGGCCCTTGTTTAACTTAAGCAACTTTTTTTCTGGCAAGTGAAAGGTGCTATGGAAGCTGGGTCGGAAGTGTTGACAGCTCAGAGTCGTGTCCTCAGCCTGTCCTTATTGTGTTCCAGAATGAAACAAACAGCAGGGGAATTCTTATTTTGAAAGGGCTGCTTCTCTTTTGCCCCTTCAAGCCGAAAACATAACATGTCGTCTTCAGGTATTTCAGGCTACAAACACAGGCAGAGAGCGGAGCTGAGTGGCTCCAGGAGCCAAGACCCGGAGACAGCCACTCACCCTCCCAGGGGACGTGGTTCCGGGATGGACCTCTTGCCCACTTGGCCTCTTGGGCTGTCTCTGCTTCATAAAAGCTTGTGCTAGGGAGCAGACAGACGTTCTGTGGCCTCTTATGTAACTGGCAAAGATGGTGGAGACTCTGGCAGCGGTGACAACGTACAGTGGCTGGAACACGGGCCACATGACGGGAACCAGAGTCTGGCCCCAGTTGTGGGGTCAAGGTCATTTCAGGGTGGAGAAGGTGGGTAGGAAAGGAACAGATCCGTGGCTACTGTGCTCCTGTTGCATCTGAGACATTGAGGAAGGTCATGATAATAGCTGCAGGAAACACGCGGAGAGTCATCGCAGGGGAGTCACTCTGAGCAAGGAGGATGAGCTGGGGGTCATGTCAGAAAGCCGCCACTGTGGAGCAGCCCAGACATGGTGGGAGAGCAGAGGCTCTCAAGAAAGGTATTCCTTCGAGCTTCCTTAGACAGTACTCATGCACAGCACTGCTGTAAACTTGCAAACTTAAGGCAGAGGGAACCCAGACCCCCAAATCACAGCCAGGAGCCTTCACCGGGCTGCACAGCCTCAGCGGGCGGTTTC